GCTCACCCCTACTGCCCTGGTGCTTCCCCAGTCTCTCATCTCCAAGTCCTAATGGAGGCAGGTGTGCTCTTAAGAGATGGGAATAAGAATCTCTGGTAGAGGGTTTGTTTTTTTTACTTTTAATGTATTTGGCACAGTCTCAGCTTGGATTCATAGTGATCCATTTTCGGCCTCCCCAGCGCTGGGATTACAGGTGTGCGCCACCATGTCCAGACTCGGTTGCTGGCTCAGCACGCCTGGGGGCAGGGCTGGTGGGGCATGTGGTGCTGGGGATCGAACCCTGGTCTCTACACTTGCCTAAGCAGGTGCTTAGTTCCCTGAGCTATCTTACTAGCTCTTGGTAGAGGTTTTTAGAAATGGATACTCTGGCCTTTCCCCAAACTCTTGAAAATCTCTGCTTGCAAACAAGTGGTAATGCAATGCTACCCTTCATCCTTTTATTTCCAAAGTCTACCTGTTCAACCCTTCAAGAAGCTCCACCATAAATAGAAGGACCCTCTCATTAAGGTACTTGTGCTGAGTGACACTCGGGGGCTTGACCTTTAGTTAGCATTCTGTGGCCCTTACAAATACCTTTGCTCTTTTCTTTGACAGTTCCTTTAACCTAAAGGTTCACAAAAGGTCCTCAATAGCTGCGCTTGGAATGCGCAGGATGCTCTTCTCCGTGGGCCATCACCAGAGTTCCTGATGCTGCCCCCACGGCCTCGCTCTTCAGCATGAAGTCCTTCCTTCCAAACTTCCCACGTGGGACTAAAGGCAGTCCACTCGCTAAGCAGTAGCTCCTGATCTGATAATGAAATCCGGTGTCTACATGATGTGGATGCTCAAAGCTATCTGGAAAGTACAGCTGTTAGGTAGTGCTAATGCCCTAAAGGATGCGTGCAGAATAGCTCTGGGCGCGTTCCAGGGTGCACGCCTAGCATGCCCAGCACCAGGGAAGTTTCCATTCTGGGTCATGTCATTCTCATTCTCTATTTTTTTTGCAGTGAAAATAAACTAGGGAGAAAACCACTATTTTCCCAGAGTTTTCACTGTAAGGCCTTGGAAGACCTATTGGAAAAAACAGGTGATTCCTCTAGTGAACTTGTAATTTTAATTCAGTTTAATTCGGTTCCATGTCCCTTTCTACTTTATACAGTTTATTCTGCGACTAGACTTTGAAGAAAAAGTTTTCAGGTAAGTTGAACTTCCAGGTGGTTGACAAAGTTGCCTGTCTTTTCCATAAGATTATTAAAAAGTGTATGTATTGTTTCAATAAAAATAAGGGTTCCATCAGTTGCAAATCTGGTATCAGTAATGATGTGCAGAACACTCCCTGAAATGTTTGTCCTCAAATCTGGGCTCAGGGCACCTCTGCATCGCCTGACACCAGCTCACGACGACACTGCCCTACTGTGCAGGGTCTTGCTGCTGTGGGCGCCTACGGGCGCTAGGGGGCCGATGTCAGATCAGGCCGGCTGCCATGAACAGATCACACTGCAGATAAGGGGTGCTTTGCTGGCTCCGACGGTTCTCTCTGCGTCTCTTTCTAGGCCCACGAATGATGCTGTAGACCATCTACCTTATTTGTACATCAATAATCCAGCTTTATTACTTGAACTTTATCTACAAAAATAAATCCTTTGTTTGCAGAAAAATATCTTTTCCCCTTTCCACGTTATATGTATTTTTAGGGAAGGGTCTACTGGGTCTCACTACTAGATCGGACTTGTAATGATCTGCCTGCTTACTGCCTCCCAACAGCTAGGATTACAGGCGCACGCCACCCCGCCCAGTCCCAACTGCTATCTCAGCAAGCCCTGGGGGCAGCGCCCACATGACAGGCAAGGGGACTGAACCCTCAGCACCTGTGCCTGCAGGCGCTTTAATCTGCTGCGCTAGTTGGCCGTCCCGTCCACGTGTTATATGATTAGGCTTGAAAACTAAATTTGTAAATTTTTAAAAAGAAAAAAGTTTTCCTGAGATTCAGGCTGAAATAGCAGTCAGCTTTGGAGTAGGTGGATCCAAGGAGAAGTAGTATTTTTACGGGATTGACTTTTCTCATCCATGAGCAGAACTGTATCTTTACTGACCAAGGCCGACATTTTTCTCGAGCATGTTTTATTATTTTCTATGTGAAGCCCGTGCACAATCTTACCAGATTTTTGTCTGAAAGTTTGACTTTTTGATGATTCTGCAATATCATTTAAAACTGCATTATTCTAATTAGCATAGAGAAATAAACCAAGTCTTGTGTATGCATCTTATTTCCAGTAGTCCTATTCAATTCACTTATGAATTCCAACAGTTTAGATTCTCCGGGATTGTGTTCATACACAGTATCATCGATGTTTTAAAATGACAAAGAGATCATCTGTAAGACCCTGGACCTCGTGCAGTTAGCAAAAACGTTTTTCATGCTATATTAATTTACACATAGGATTTTGTATGCTAAACTCATGTGAGCTTAGAAAATCTGGATGAGTGTTTCACGTTTAGTCTCTTCAGAGCTTGGAAAATATGTATTTTGTGTACTTTTCTCAACCCTCTCAACTCCGACGTAAATGACACACAAGAGAAAAACATGGTGGTTTTTGATCAACAGACATTTCACTATGTATCTCTTGATGTGCATGCATGAAAGACTGGTAGATGGGACGCACTTTACTCTGCCCTTCTACTACGACACTCTCTTGATGACACCACTATGGATGACACCTCCTTTAACGTCCAGAAGTCCTCACTCCTCCGCTCCCGCAAACTGGACTCCTTTCTGGGGTCACTGAGACCCTGCTGGCATCCAGCCTCACGTGCTCCTTGCTCCTTGCTCCTTGCCCTACATGCAGTGAGGCAGACGGACTCGGATCCACGTCTGGTTTGGCTGCAGCGGAAGCTAACTGAGACTGAAATAGGCTTAAATCTGCCCACTGCCAGATGCAAAGAACTGACACACAGTGAAGAAGCGAAGCCTTTGATTTTGTTCTCAGCAGTATTTATTGGAAACAGCGATGCTTCCCATGGTGAGTTTATACATTAAGCAGTAAGATCGCCTTTTACTCCACATGACCCACTACGGCAGGTGGCACACTGGAAGCAGCACATTAAACCTCTCGAAGAGTCTGTACAGCTAGATAAATAGAACTCTGGATCCCTAACAGGACTTTCAGGACATAGGAAAAACCCAACACGGAGCAGCTTACACACAGCACTGTACACACAAAATGAAGGAGGGAGAGAAAGAACAGATAAGAAAGTGCCAACTGAACTGGGAAGGCATCAGCAGCCACACCCCTTAATCTGCTAAGCTCAAAACCCATCTTTATTTGGTCCTCATTGAGGGCAGAATATGCACAAAATGATGCTCAAGGAACACGAGGTCGAAGTGAAAGGTGTTTACTGTCTCTTGATCTGTGAAGTCAGGGGAAAGAGGTTACTAGAGTTTTCTCCTTCTTTCTTTGTGCCAAACAGATTCATAAAACATACTTCATAAATAAAACTTATTTCATGGTTGTTTCCCTTCCTTTATCCTTCAGAAATGCCTACATATGTACACGGCTTCTGGACAGCGAGACATGTAAACTTGGAAACGACTCTTCCCCAGTCCACAGCATGGCAAATGTCTTCTCTCCAGCCTATCCCATAATATGCAGACTGCTGTCTTATTTAGAAATAAACGAGAATCTCACTCTAGCTTTAATAGCACGGAGGGAATAAAACTGGCTGCACCTCAGAAGCAGGCATACATGGGGTGAAGAAAGGGTTGCAAGAATGATTTCAATCCACACGGAAAACTTCTCTACTGCTGGCATCGGGACACTCACTCACTTAGACCAGAGGAAATCTGCTGGTGAGGGAGGATTTGTTTGACAATTCTGACTCACGTTTGGGAAGGGACAATGTGAAAGCAAGAACTTCCTCTTCTGTGGATGGAGAACCTGAGGGCTTGGTACGGCCTCGGGGTGACAGGCAATATCTTCAGTGGGATGGTCTTGCTGTGACATGGCTCATGGCCATACCCTAAGCCCGCGGCCTGCCGAGAACTGTGGAAGCGGCAGCTCTGTGACCACTGGTAGTCTCCGAGGGTGTTTAAAAGCACATGCCATGCCCACCAGGCTCAGAAGATACCGGCCATCACCATGACCCCAGTGGGCACGCACAAGTCAACCCTAGACAAGGGTGGGGCGGATGACTTGGTCCACTGCGGCCTGCACCCGAGGGTGTTGTGAGCAGCATTGCCAAAGCAGTGGGTAAACTTAGCTACCTGGGCCAGACGGAGGTGAGCTGGCCAGCGTGCCAGCCTAATGGGGGAGGGCAACCAGAATCTCCACGTAATTGATGGGGAAGAAGCCTGACTGGCCGTGCAGCATCCCCTCGTACCAGTTCTCATCAATCTGGTTAGTGAGTGTGATGACGTCACCCTCCTTAAAGCCCAACTCCCCTTCATTTTCGGGTTCAAAGTCGTACAGCGCTCGGCAGCAGGGCTGATCCATGGGGGCACCTGGAGGCGAGAGCGGGAGAGAAGAACACAGAAGCACAGGAGCCTGAATGCACAGCAGCCACCGCCTGCCCCTCCCCTGCTTTCTTCCTTCGCTCCTCTCCCTATGAAATTTTCCTCTTGCTGGCAGACTCTAGCATCGCTCTCAGAGGATACAAGGACAACAGCATAAAAGTGCATATTTTTAAAGTCCACATCCAGGAAAAAGAGGTTCCAGCTTACTTAACCAAGCAAGTGTTAGAGTTAGAAACATCTCAAGTAAAGGCTTTTATATGATCTCTGTAAAGGGACAGAAATAATAGGTGTGCTTCAATATTCCTAAGGAAAATAAAGTTCAGCTTTTATGTCAACCTTAGTACCACAGAACCAGGGACTAGTGAGGGCTGCGAGTGGGAGAGGAGCCCTGACAGGCGCTAAGCTTCTAAAAGTATTCCACCATAACCTTATGGGCTCAAGAAATCCAGCTCTAGTTTCATCCATTTACCCATAAAAGCCTTGAGTTTATCTGTCTTTATAGCTGAGTAATGCTCCACTGTATAAAATACCACATCTTTTTTATCCATTCCTCAGATGGTGGGCATCTGGGTTGCCTCCAAGATTTAGCTATGACAAATTACATTGCTATAAATAGAAGTGCACATAAATTGTTATGGTATGATGATGTCAGCTCTTTTGAAAAAATACCCAGGAAGGAAACAGCTAGGTTAAAGGGGACCTTCAACCCTAGTTTTCTGAGGAATTTTCACACTGATGTCCATAGTGGTTGTACCAGTCTACGCTCCCACCAACAGTGGAGAAGCGCTCTTTTCTCCCCCCACAGTCACTCCAGCATTTGTTATTGGCTGACTTCTTGATGACAGCCACTCTTTCTGGGGTGAAACAGAATCTCAGTGTTATTTTGACTTGCATTTCTTGAATGACCACTGATGCTGAATATTTTTCCAATTTTTATTTGCCATTTGCATTTCTTCATCCGAGAAATGTGTATTCATCCCAGATGCCCATTTTTTGATTCTCTGAATTTTGGGAGTCTTTGAATTTTGGGAGCCTGATTTTCTTTATAATTCTTTATATGTTTTACATAGAAGTCCTTTGTCTGAGGAACAGCCAGCTAAATTTTTTTCCCATTTTGTGGGTTTCCTTTTACTCTGTTGGTGATTTCTTTTGATGTGCAAAAACTTTTCAGTGAAGTAAGATCCCAGTTATTGGTTATTTGAAGTTTTTCCTGTGTAGTTCGGTTTTTGTCCATGAACTCTCTGCCTACCTAGATGTCTTCAGGATTTCTACCTACTTTCTCCTCCAGTAATTTAGTGTTTCTCTCTTAATAAATCAGCCCTGCATGTGTAAATGTTACACTGCCTCCCTAGTGTAAGAACCTGACAGAGTAAATAATCTAAAAGGTATAATAGCCCAAAAAGGAAAGAAACTGCTCAGAGAGAATAAATGGAATGAGGGAAAGGAGAAAAGAAGGAGCTGGAAGGGAAAAAATACACATATATCTATAGGATATATGTATGTGCCTTGGATAATAGCACTGCTGATTTCTACTGGTCTATTATAAAGAACAGTTAATGCTGAATTTTTTTTCTTTTTTCTTTAACTTTTATGACCAATTTTGCATGATTATATCTAGTAATGTGAACAACTAATTTGAAGACAACAATAAGCAGTATGACAACCACCGCTGAATTCCTATCATTTTGTTTAAATTGTAGATTTATCTATTTAATTATTTTTACTATTTTTTTGTTCTCTTTAAATTAAAAAAAAAAATTGCAAAACAAATGTAGCTCTACATGTTCCTGGCACTCCTGCTGGTGCGTGCTTGGGGACCTGGGTGGCTCACACTGTGGACAGCGTTCGTTCTCACGTGTGTACTGAGTCACGGAAGGAAGAGACAGAAGACCCCCTAGCTGAGGAGTTACGATGATTACGACCACAAAACAAAGTCAAAGCAAATGTGGTAGCCAGGAGACCGTTGCTTGTTGATGACAGAGAAAAAGGTTCAAACAAAGAACATTTTACTGAGAAAGGAAGGAGTACAAATGAGCAAAGGCCAGGGGGAAAGCAAAAAGGACCGCAGCCTGTCTACCCGGCAACCCATCCCACCAGTACTGTATCACCGGACCTTGTTAAACCGCTGGACTGGAACGCCCCAAAATTTCTTGAGAAATGTCAATGGTTGCCCAAGGCTCATGCACTGGGATGTGCAGCCCCAGCCCCTCCTCACCTGCAGGTCTGGGTGTGCCAGTGTGGGAGAGACCCCCGTTGGGCTGAGTGCCATCTCCAGTGGGGAACTCCAGGCTCATGCGTGGTTTCGGCTGATACTCCCTTCTAGGCTGAGAGGAGGCCTGTCTTATCCTGCATGGGTAAGGAAAGAGATGAAGGAGATTATGTAACTGACTAAGAAGTAAAAAGAAAGCAACACAAGTGGACATGTCCGGGTCCCTCCCTGATCTAACATAACTGAGTGGAAAATGCGGCCAAGGACCTGAGCCTCCTCGTTGCATAGGCGCACATTCCTGGTCCTGTCCTCACTGCCTTTATTCTTATTTCTAATCTGTCACTTCCTCCCTCCTTTCTCTGAGCAATAAACATCTGTACTATGCTATGCCAGGAGCACAAAGGGCAGTGAGAGGGCGTTCTCAGCACAGAGCAACCTCACGTCTGTAGAGGAGACAGAGTAGAGCACCTGCCTTATCCACAGTGCTGACAGAGGTATCTGTAGGAACCCTGGG